CTTATGAATCTATTTAAGGCTGCAGCCCTTCCAGTCAACATCTGCACTTGCTTTGCCGACGTTGGGCTATTTAACTCCAAGATGGCCTTGATTTGATCCGGACTTGCCTCAATGCCCTTTCTGGTGACCAAGTATCCCAAGAATTTCCCTGATCCAACTCCAAATGCACACTTCGATGCATTGAGTCGGAGCCAAAATGTCCTTAGGATATCAAAGACTGTTTTTAGGTCGGCCAGATGATCCTCAGGTTCCTTGAGCCCCGTTTGGTAGAGCTGGGGAAAAGTGATTATAACTTATAGCCTAATAGCTTATAGCATATAGCTGTGAACATAAGCTGATTTTTTACTTATAAATTAAGCTTCTTCTCCCCTACTCAAAAAATAAGTTGATTTTTGACTTACAAAAAGCTATAAGCTGTATTGTTAAGCTGAACCAAACATATCAAAATAGCTTAAATTAAGCTAAAAGCTAAAATAAGCCCTGCCAAACAGGGCCTTAGTCTTCACGACGATGTCATCAATGTATACCTCCACTATTTTGCCTATTAGATGTCTGAACATCTTAGTCACCAATCTTTGGTAGGCTACTCCTGCATTTTTTAACCCAAAAGGAATCACTCTATAGCAATACAGCCTTTTTGGGGTGATAAATGTAGTCTTTTCCTCATCTAAGGAGTACATAACTATCTAATGGTACCCTCTATAAGCATCCAGGAAACTCATCCTTCCATGCCCTGAAGTGGCATCCACCAATTGATCAATCTTGGATAGTGGGAAACTGTCTTTGGGACAAGCCTTGTTCAGACTGGTGAAGTCCACGCCGACCCTCCACTTCTCATTCTTTTTCTTCATAACAATCATGTTTGATAACCACGTTGGGCAGTTTACCTCTCGAATGGCTCTGGCCTCTAGAAGTTTATCCACTTCTTCTTCTACTGCCTCAACATGTATCAACGTCAGCCTCCTTGCTTGTTGGATGACAGGTTTAGCCAACCTATCCACATTCAATTTGTGGCAAGTGACCTCGGGGTCAATGCCTGGCATCTCGTATGATGTCCAAGCAAATACCTCAAGGTTTGCTCTCAAGAACGCTTCTAATTCCTTTTTCTCCTCCTCGGCCAAGCCTGAGCCGAGAAGGAAGAAGCGTTCTTCATCCCCTTGCTGGACTAAAATCTTCTTCAAGGCTTCCTCACTTTTCTCGGCCGGTTCCTTGCCGACATCCTCAAGGACCTGCATGTCCTTACCTTCAATCTCTGCTGCTTCTACTTCTCGTATGTTGCAGGTGGATTTCATCGCTGCCATGGAGCAATTCTTTGCCTATAATTGAACTCCTCTAACCTCCTCAATTCCATGCTATGTTAGGAATCGCAACAGTTGGTGCAATATTGAGGGAACAGCCCCATTGCATGTAGTCATGGCCTTCCCAGGATAGCATTGTAAGAGGAGAGAGGGTCAATTATTGTGAACTCAGTTTTTACCTTCTTGGTGTTGCCATTCAGAAGGCTCTTGCTAATAAAGAGGTTGGGGGGCATTCCATTGAACCCGACCATTGGACCATTGGATTGTTCCAAATCATCTTGGTGAAAGCCAAGCTCCTTATAACACCTGACATACATGATGTCACAAGAGCTACCCTAGACGACCAGAATTCACTTTACCTGGCAGTCTTCAAGCTGGGGGATATTACCAAGGCATCGTTGTGTGGATGTTGCACCATCTCTAGGCCGTCTTTAGTAAAGGACACCACTGGTCCCTTGCACTCGTCTGCCCTAGGTCTCTTCTGCCAGACCTGATACACATGTTGCAAGTGTTTTACCTTCTGAGTTTCCCTACGTATCTTGTTCTCATTAACCTTCGAGTGAATCACATTGATCACTCGAGGTCTGCTTGTTTATGGTTGTGGTGCTGGTGGAGGCGGTGCTGTCGGTGCCTAAGGCTATCTCGCTTGCTTTTCCCTTGTCTTGGTCTAATCTACCAGGTCCCTTAGATGACCTTGTCTTACCAGGTCTTCCAGATGTGCCTTTAGGGCTCTGCAACCTTGAGTTTGATGCCCACCTTTATTATGGTAGGCACAGTATTTCCCCAGACTTCTTCCCATAGATTCACCAGGAATCCTCTCTGGTGCTCTATAATAGGGCTGATTCTGGATTCTTTCCAAGACTTTGTAGACCAAAATTCAGAATACGGTTGTGACTGCCTGTGTAGCCCTCAGTCCTGTCTCTTGCTTATTGTATCCACTATTACCTCAGTCTCACTTCGGCGAGCCGTTTCTCTTCTCTTATTTAGACGCATTTGTCCCCGGCGTGTCCTCCTCGACCCTGGCATACTTTTCTATCCTGGCCATAAGTTCCTCCATATTTTTTGGCAATGTCTTTGCCAGTGATTTTCAAAGTAGACAATCATCGTTCAGGTTGTTCTTAAAAGACACGACCACTACCTCTTGGTTGCATCCTGGTATTCGGTTGAACACCTCATAATACCTTTTGGCATAGGCCCTGAGGCTTTTATCCTCACTAATTCTCAGAGCCATCAGGGAGTCTACCCTCAATGGCTGTAGTTTGTTTGTCACAAACCTGGCCACGAACATCTCGGCCAGGTCTTCCTAGCTTTTCACAGTTCCTTTCGGCAACTTGCAAAACCAGTCTAATGTGATTTTCCTAAAGGATAAGGGGAACACCTTGCAGAGCAACGGCTCGTTTCCAGTGTATAATGCCATTGAGTTCAGGTACGAGCCGACGTGAAAGCTAGGGTCAGACTTACCGTCGTATATCTGGAATCTCGGTATGTGAAACCTCTTCAAGGCCTCAAACTTGTCCAATTCTACCGAGAATGGCATTCTCGGCTTAGTCGGTAAGGTTACCTCGGTATCTTGTCGCTTCCTCTGGAGGTAATCCCTTAAATCCTCCTTGGTTCGTCCAGGAGCTCGGCTATCAACGGATTTCAGCCTTTTCAGTGCGCTACTCCCAGTATCGTTATGAATCCTCTTGGACCTCCCTCCATTGGTCATGTCAAAACAAAGTTCCTTCCCTTGAACATGCTGATGTTCTTTGGGCTCAGCTTCTTTGGTACGATTTGTCCTCCGAGAATCTCCCTTCATTGACTCTCTTCGCCCGACCTCCCTTGAAGGCCGGTGAAAGTGTTCCTTGGTCCTGGTGTGTTGGGGGACTGGAGGAACTATTTTCTGCCCTCCTTTCTAGGCATCTTTTTTGGCCGCTGGAATCGGCATATCTTGTAACGGAAATGGTGGCTGCATGACGTTGTTCTACATCATGAAATTGATGACCGGTTGCAAGCCTGCCAATTTGTTTACCATTTCCTTCATCTTGTCGTCCTTCCGCAAGCATCTATCTTTCCATACCTGGAGGTCATCCTTGCTATAATACCCGCCTCGGTCTGACTTCTTTGGTACGTCGCCCTCCTGGCCGACGTCTTTCTCTCCGGCATTCTGATCCCGAGTTTCTTCATTGCAGTTAACCTCCTCTACGTTGGGATCAAAGTGTTTACCACTTCCAGTAGGGATGTCGTCCTCGATCTTCTCTTTTTGTCCGTCGTTGGCCATCTATTCTCCTTTCTTTCCCACAGACGGTGCCAAATTGTGTGTGCTGATTTCTGACCACACTGCCAAAAAAGTACTCAGCTGGAGAACACTAGCAGAACAGATCATGCCCAAACAACTTGTCACAGAAAGAAAAGACTCCGGTGGTGGTTTGTCCACCCGGGGGACTCCGACGATCAAGTCAATACTCAATTATCTCTCAAAGATAATAATTAGTGCTTAACTTACTAGCCAGAATATCAAAAGCGTACCTTAGACCCATGAGGGTGCCTTACTTTTATAATTAGCACTAACCTGATTCCGACAGAAGCCTAGCTTCTCTTGGACTCTGGCTCAATGCTCATCCTGGACTCTCAAATAGATAAAGATAAACTCCCTAGGAGCTTTATCCTTTTTCAGACTGAGGTCCTCCCCCATTCTAAGACTCTTATAGCTTATCTGTTTATCCCGGACTCCAACATCTCCTCAGATAACCTCAGCCTAACCAAGATAATCTCGGCATCATGACCAAGACACGTGGCACCTCGGCTGGCACTTTGGTGCCACCTTGACCACGTGTTGTCATTCAAGAAATATGTCCCCACATTTCATATTTTAATCAATAGAATAATCAAAGTGCTAAAGAGCAAAGCCAGTTTCATGGTAAAATTTAACAGAAAAACAAAAGATGATTTTGAATAAAAAAATTAAAAAGCAAGATGATTTTTTAGATGGTGAACGGATTAAGAGCAAATTCATATTTTAACAGGCTGTGCAAATCAGTAAAGAACAAAACAAACATAACAAAGCACACAAAGGGTTATTTTGGAAAGATAATTAAAAGTTGACTTTTTAATTTTTTTTCAAAGATATATAAAATAATATGATTCAAAATAAACCCACTTCTTAAAAAGCCCAAAGCATGCCATCAAAGTGTCAATTTTCCTCCACCTAGAAAACTCTCCTCATATTCCGCGTAACCTCTTCTTTTCTAAATTTTCTTATGGTTGTGCTATATTCCTCTAATTCTTATATAATGAAACTCACATTTAAAATAAATTTTAATTATTTCACATAATTTTACACATTTTTCACATTTAAATATATTTTTACACATAATACAAATGTATATATATAACTTCAAATCAAAAAAAAAAAAAAACTCTCTCTATATGAGACTTCATAGGAAGCTTCTTTACTATGCCATCGGATTAAAGGGTATTGGAGTTTTTTAGAAAGATTCAAAAAAAAAAAAACAACAACAACAGCAACAACAAAAACAACAACAACAACAACAACAACAGTAGCAGCACCAACAACAACAACACCACCACCAGTAACACCACCAGCAACAACAACAGTGTAAACCCCACATCCCCTAATCTCATGTTTGGCTGGCCGCTAAAAAGGGGTATTAGTGTAAACCCTACATCCCCTAATCCTTGTGCAAACAAGATTTGCTAACATATTCTAAGGGCTGCTGACCTATTTCACTGACTTCACACTCTCTATCTCTCTGTTGCTTTCATTTTCTATCCCAATCTGTTGCTTTCAAATGTAAATATCACTCCATTTTTTGTTATGACCCTCGATTTTCATTTCTGGAAAAAAGGGGTAGTAATTTTGAACTGGAATCAAATGCAACAATACTGCAAATATAGGAACTAGTACTTTCAGCAGAGCATTGTAAAACACTATAAAATTTTAAAGCAAGTTTAAGTTGGAGTATGGAACATCAGTTTCATCGATCCATTCACAATCAACACACAATTAGTCAGCACAAACAAATGACATTCAAAGCCCACATCCTCCGGGTGAAGATAATGACTGGTCAGCTTGAAAGATGTTTAGGACTTATCTATCTAGTCCTACACAAAACCACAGAAAATTAAAGTTACATCTTTAATCATCCTAGTTCTACAATTATAGGAATTATCCAGGAAGATATATAATAATCTTGAACATGATGACATTGTGCCTCAGAGAGAGAAAAGGAGAAAGAGAGATGACTAACCTGCATGTCTGAAGTACACAGAGTGAGATTATCCCTTAGTAATTGCACAATGAGAGTGTTGTCCTTGTATGATTCTTCACCTAAAGTGTCAAGTTCAGCTATTGCTTCCTCAAATGCTTGTATAGAAGGACAATAATGAATCGAATCAATAGAAGTCCAATATGCTGCTTCAAAAATTAGAACCTATGTATAACACCAGCCTCTAGTATAATTTATAGCAACATGATATGCAGTTATGCACAAGAGGCAGACTGAGGATAACTCACAAAAGGTCACTTAGTTTGATTCTACAATTAGAGAAAAATTTTGTCTTGGCATGGAAAAAAACACAAACATGCACACATTTAGATGGATATACCTAACAATTCAGTTCGACACAACATGCCTTAATCCCAAAGGAAATAATAGTCCATTACCAAGCATACTATGGAGCCCACCAAATTACAGTAAAGAGAAAGCACAACTCTATCCATAATGATATATAAACAGCAATATAGAACAAATAATCAACACAAGGATATCCAAGCAATCATTTGAGTCTTTATATCCAAGTAAGACTCAACTGTTTTTAATTTAATATAACACAAACATACAACACTCATTGGAAATGATTAAAATGAGTCAATAGTTTGCATTTGTAATTGCGAACGTGTAAATAAAGAAGTACAGAAAAGAAAAACTAAATCAATAACAAGTGCATCACTTTCTGGAATATGCAATGATAGGTATCTAAGATGTCAAAGCTACAAGATCAATTGGTTCAGCAAAAGTGTTCAGAAGATTAACAAGCAAAAATAGATCTCCAAGGCAGTGGCAGAACATCCAAAAGTATACATGATTCCAACATTTAAGCCCATGTAGTTAATGAGCTACTAAGAGATGAAACAACAGACACCAAGCTCGGAATCAATCAATTGGTGCTCGTGTAACATCACTGTGTCCCAGCTTCTCTTAAATCCAGATATTGTTTTATCCCCTGCAGACTATCCATATCACTAAACAAAAGACAATGTTTTCAAGTTAACTCAATGATATGTACCAACATTTTATGCTCCAACCTTGGGTGAACCTAGACTGAATTAGTTATGCGATGCAGAAAATGGTAAGCCACAATCTGCTTAGCCTTTTTTAAGTAATATGCTTGCCATTTGAAGCAGAAATAGAGCAATATTTACACCAATTGAAGAACAAGTTTTACATTGTTATCAAATTCTAGTTCTATGGAAGAGTAATTGACTCAAATTAAGGAGATAGCAGATCAATTAGCCCAAGCTTCTTCACCAATTAAGAATGAAGAAAAAAAATGTGTTAGGTTTTATTCTTGGCAATCCCGTTTGACAAAACTCCTTTGTGTTGTAATTTTATTCGCGTTTTTATTTCAGTGAGGATATGAGTTGTTAGATGCGAATCCAACCCGAATCGTGCTTTGTAGAGCAGTTTGTAATGTTAATTCTTTCAAGATTTCCACTTCGCTGATTATGACGGGGATCGAGCTGCCCGGTCAGCTCGTGGGGGTCCAGGGGACAGCGCCCCTTAGCGGGTCCGGGGCAACACCACGGCGAGGTCGAAGGGCAGCGCCCCCCGAAACAAAATGTAAAAATGCATTCCAAGTTGCCTGTCCGCTTGAGCGGACATTCCCCCGCTCGAGCGTAGAATCCATGGTTTCAGAAGTTTATTCGCCTGCAAAAATACTAGATGTTGTTTTTTCCCACTCGAGCGAAACTTTTCGCGCTCGAGCGTAGGTCCGCTCGAGCGGCCAATCCGACGCTCGAGTGGAGATTGCGGGACAGTTTTCTATAAATACATGTTTCAGTCCAAATCTAGAATTACTTCTCCAGATCTTCTTCTTGGGTTCTAAGGTTTATATCTGGGGATATTTTGCTAGTTTTCTTTGATGTTTTGATTGAGTATTCAACTCATGATTTAAAGAGTATACATCAAATGATTGTTTTTTTGTTCTACACAAAAGAGAGAGTTGTTCTTCGGTGGATTCTGAAGAATTTGAGCCTGAAGCTAAAGTGGCTCATCGTCAAGGCAATTCTGAGGTGAAGACGGGGTTAGAAGAGACGCATAGAGGTTGGTTCAATTCGGGCGTGGATTCCCTAGGTAATTGAGAGTATACCTATGTAATTCATTTATATCTTCTTAGTGGATTGTTTTGTGGCTGTTGCCCATGGTTTTTTTATCACAATTGGAGATGTCCAATTGTGGTTTTTTCGCGTAAAATCGTTGTGTCGATTTGTCTTGATTGTTTGATTGGGATTGTTATATACTGCTTAAAATTGATACATAATCACAAATCAGCATCTAAGCGATTTCTAAATTTTTCAAAATGAATTTAATTATAAAAAAAAAGAAAATATAAAAACTGGGTGTAGATAATCATAAAGTTAAACTGATATGCCTATGTAATTATTGCTCATAGAATAAAACAAAAATCAAGCACAAGAACATTTGATTTTTATTTTTTGAAGCAATAGGTTGATTTAAGAAAATAAATTTATAATAGAGTCACCAATATTTTCACCTTCAAAAAATATAGTAGAGGCATAGCAGATATCAGATTGTGATTCAATCTCAACAAAGCACAAAAAGAAAAGGGGTGAGGAATGTTGGCTCATTCAAACTCTGTAGCATAGCTCTATTATTAAATAGCTTACAAAAAACCCCAAAATTAAACAAAAAATTTCTAAAATTCTGCCATTTATCAGTTACAATACAAACACCATGTATGTAGGTATAGAAATATATATGTATGTGGAGAGAAAAATAGAGGAGTTCATGCGAGAGAAAAGAAAAGAAAACAAAATCAAAGAACACTTACAGTGGAGGAGGCAGCAGAACTAGTGGCAGAAGCAACCAAACGGATGGCGGAAGTAATCGAACTAGCGGCGGAGAGAGAACAAGGGACGAAGCAAATGGAGTGTAGAGGCAGAGAGGAACTATGGCTATTGGAAGAAAAAGGGGAATGACAAAAGGATGAGAGGCTCACTAGGTTTTAGAAATATTAAAAAATAACCATTTTATTTTCCATGACCACAATTCACTTGGTCGCCAAAAGTTTAGAAATTTTGCCTAATTTTTTATGCTCTCCCGCCACTACCTTCAACCGGCAAAAGGTTCTATATTAGCTACCAAATGGTTGTTGGTCGCTAAAACTTTGATCATCCATGACTAAAATTTATTTTGGTTGTAGAAAGTAAACTATTTGTGACCAATTCTGGGTGTGGTCGCGGAATGTAGTCGCCAAAAAGTTTTGAGATCTCCTTTTTTTTTTTTTTTCCCCTCTTCCGCCATTACTTTCCGCAACCATATTTCTTTTTTTGGTCACAAAAAAATACCTATTACTACCAAAATGTCGTTGGTCGCAAAAACACAGCTTATCAGCGACCAAAAAAAGGTTGGTCGCAAAAACTCAACTATCTGCGACCAACTAAAAAAAGGTGGTCACCAAAAGTATTTTTTCTTGTAGAGAGAATCACACAGGGAAAAAAATCAAATTAAAAAATAAATAAATTTATGGAGTGGGAGAATTTTACCACCAACAACTTAGACCTCACCTAACCCAATCCGTTAGCTCATCCGCTTATGCCCGCGAAGTTTAGGAGTTGAGATGACTAATCAAATTATTTTTTAAATAAAACTAGAAAATTGATTAATTTGTTCCATTAAATGATTTAAAATTTTGATTAATATACATCAAAAAAATAGATAATTCATATTTTTTTGAGATCCATATCTAAATTCTTATCCTTTTTATTTTTGTGTGGTTTTTATTTTTTATTTTATTTTTCTAATTTATTTAAGATGGAGTTGTGAGTTTCTATTTTCTTTAATTTAATTTATCTGTGGTTTCTATTTTTTTTAATTCTTATTATTTAGGTAAGTTATGATGTGAGTTAGATATGTGATAGACATGTGAGTCTTTATTAATTTAAAATATGATGGTGGGAAATATTTTCAAATTAGATTCGTTTAGATAAATTTAAAATTGAAATATTTTAATTGAATAAATAAAAAACAAATTTACTAATTTTATCTATTTGTATATTTGATTTTTATATAATTAGATATCCACGACTTTCATGAAAAATATTATCTGATTTTTTGGGAAAGATTGAAGGAAGTCAAGTTTTAATATATTTTTTTGAAAATCGATGAGAGAGATTGGGAGAGAGAGATTATAAAATATTTTTTATCTTTCCATTTGAAATCCAAAAATTAATAGATAATAATTATTTCTAAAATAATTAAACAAATAAACCAGTCAATAGTTTTTTTTAATCTATTTTATAAATTGAAAAATCAATAATTTTAGAAAATTGATTAATTTGTCTCATTAAGTAATTTAAAATTTCGATAGATATACATTAAAAAAAGGGAAAATCGGTTTAAGGTCCCTATCCAACTTTTAATAATGGATTAGGTCCACAATGTGTTCTTTTGTAGCCTAAGGTCCCTTAATGCTATTTTAGAGTGTAAAATACCTGTCTTACCCTTGTTTATAATATACGTTGTTTTGAATTTGGCAGCTAAAGATTATATTGATATTTTGTGGGAGATTATGTGAGGATGAACTTGACGATTTAGATTTTTGTGGAGATTTTTTAGGGTTTTTGTAGGTGTTGAAATCCTGTTCGTTGTTTGTAGGTGTTGAAATCTTGTACGAGTTGAAATCATATTCGTTGTTTGTAGGTGTTAATCGATCGTGTAGGAGTTGAAATCTTGTTCATTGTGTTTGATTTGATTTCATGTGGAGTTGAATTAGATAAGTTTTCAATTTTTGATTTGATTTGATCTGATCGTGTAGGTATTGAATTAGGTTTTTGCTTTTAGTTTTGATCAATGTGAGAGAGACGAACTCAGTGTTGTTTTTTATTTTTGAAGTTAATTTTTCATTATCTGTTATTGATGAATTTTCGATGGAGTTGATTTTGATTTTTGGAGTTGCTTTTTCATTCTCTGTCAACATGATTATGAGTTGCTTTTTGGTGCTCTGTTTTTCTGTGTTTTTGTTCTCTGTTTTTTGTTCACTTTGCATTTTTTGTGTAGTGCAGAGAAAATTGTAAGCTTGTAGTGCAGTGAAAATCACAGAGAAAATTGTACGTAGGCAGAGAAATTTACAGACGTAGCAATAGAGTAGTAAGTGTTTTGTTTTTTTTAAAAAATTTTTTTGAATTGAATGTTTTGTGAACATAACAGACTTTCTCTGTGATTTTTTTATGTGCTTGTGTTTAATATATTTTTGTCTCTTGATGTTAATGCGTTTTTGTTTTTGTTATATTGAAAGTGAATATAAGTTCACAAATTTCTCTGGACTTTTCTTTGTAGTCCAGAGAAAATCATATGATTGTATTACAAATGATAAGTATTACAAATTTCTCTAGACTTATATGTTGTGTTTTTATGTGTTTTTATATGTTTGCACTTTTCAAAATTTTCTGATATGTTTTCTTTGCACTTTTCATTTTTTTTTTTTTTGCACTATTCATGTTTCTGGACTTTTCTTTGTAGTATAGAGAAAATCGTAGGTTTGTTATTATAATCCAATGAAAATGACAGAGAAAATGTTAAGCTTGTAGTTGAGTGAAAATCACCCTTGAAGTTGGTGTCTTGATCTTCATGCTTATTGCTTCTTCAACTTGGACTTGTTTTTTTTGTGGTGTTCTAGTGCTGCTACTGCATTTTGATCTAAGATCATAAGACGCAGACACAGAGACTTTTGGTTTCTTGTTCGGGGTTTCTGGGGTTGTGCTGCTTCTGCGCTTTGCCATTTCTATAGAATGAAAACATAAACATTAAATCCCAGAGAAAATTACAAGGTAGCAATGATTACACAACAGAGAAAATTACAAGGTAGCAACATAAACATGACAGAGAAAATTACACAACAAAGAAATTTTGAGGAAATGAAGCATTGAACAAAATAAATATGCCAGAGAAAATTAGACACAAGACATAAACATAATGTGGCCAGAGAAAATTATAAATGCTGCTAGAGAAAATTAGACACACAAGTAAGAAAAGTAATTTGTCCAGAGAAAATTATAAATGCCAGAGAAAATTAGCCACACCAATAGAGTAGTAAGCCACAGATAATTTGCTTGAGAAAATAATGAAGAAACATAAACATGCCAGATAAAATTACACAATAGAGAAACACAAATGTAGCAAGCCAGAGAAATTTACAAAAACAAAAACACAAGAAGCTTCAATAAGAAGCCCCAAATGCACAGAAAGCAATTCAATTTTGACAGTTGGAAAGAAAGCAACCCATCATCAGTTGGAAGCAAAGAAATTCTGGACTTCCAAAGAATTTCTCTGGATTCAACCCAGAGAAAATTCAAATTTCTCTGGTCCAGAATTTCTCTGGAACGATAAAACTCTGATTTGATCAATTTGTCATTGGTTTTGCTACTGCTGATTCAATCACAATTTCCTGCACAAACAAATTAATAGTTCTTCTATGAGTTTGTGATAGATTTTCTTTAAACTTAATGGTATGAATTTCTCTGGGTTGAATCCAGAGAAAATTCAAATTTCTCTGTATCACCTTAAGCCTTCCTCTATTGCTGCCTCTTCCTCAAGCTTCTTTTTCCAATATTCTTCAAGTAGGGGTCCAAATATTGCTTTTCCAGAAACAACTCCAATTCTGCTAAACCCAAAAAATCAAAAGACGTTATATTCAACACTCAGAGAAATTTTGAACCTGAAAATGTTATATTCAACACTGGATATATATATATATATATATGTGCTGACATTGTATATATATATATATGTATGTATCATATATATATATATATATATATGTTTGCAACCATAGATAAGATAACTAAGAGTGACTGTTTGATTATGGTTGCAAATGGTCTTAATTGATTAATTATCATATATATACTAGTCAAGACAGTAAGCAACAGATTGTATATATATATGTGTGTATGTATCATATATATATATATATACATCTATCAACTCCACTCCACTCTGTTTGTTTACCCAGAAAATCAAATTTGCCAAACTTAGTGCTTTTGTTTTGCTGAATTTGTTTTCGTACTCGTCAGAAAATACCCAACACCAGTACCAGCATCACAAAGGAGAATATCCAGTAGAAAGGTCAAAAAAATCAACTCATCTGAAGATGAACAGACGTAGGGTATTTTGGTCCAAGAAATTGATAAAATGCGCGGGTATTTTGGTTAGGGACCTGAGGCAGTATTACATTTTTTAATGTCCTTTATGCAGAAAATTGTTATTATTAGGAAGCTTAAAAAAAAAACCCTTAAAAAAATAGATAATTATATTACTAAATCATAATTCAAATTTAGATATTGTTATATCTTTTTGAGATTCATATCTAAATTCGTATCTTCTTTATTTTTGTGTGGTTTCTATTTTTTTTTTTTTCAATTTATTTTAGATGGAGTTGTGGGTTTCTATTTTTTTTAAATTTAATTTATTTGTGGTTTTTATTTGTTTTTAATTATTATTATTTAGGTAAGTTATGATGCGAGTTAAATATTTGATAGATATGTGAATTTTATTGATTTAAAGTATGATAGTGGGATATATTTTCAAATCAGATTTGCTTAGATAGAATTTATAGATTTTTAAAATTTAAAATTGGATATTGAGGGGCAAAAGAAATATTTTGACTGAATAAATAAAAATCAAATTTATTAATTTTATCTATTTGTATATATGATTTTTATTATTATTTTTTTGTTATGTTATAATATAATATATAAGATATAAATAGATACCCACAACTTTCATGAAAAATATTATCTGATTTTTTCGAGAAGAGAAAATGAATGCAAGTTTTAATATTTTTTTTGAAAATTTGTGAGAGAGATTACGAAATATTTTTGTTATCTTCCCATTTGAAATCTATAAATTAATTGACAATTTTTATTTCAAAAATAAATAAATCAGTCAATAGGTTTTTTTTAGTCTATTCTATAAATTGAAAAATCAATAATTTTATAATGAGAGTTTGAAACTCTTAGGAAGCTTGTCATTAGAAATCATTTTTTTCTTATATAATATATAATATATAAATAAATAGATAGATATAGATATAGATATAGATTTTTTTTAATACACAAATTATTTGTTTTGAAAAGGATGTTGCAGTAACTATGAGAGAAGTCAAAAAG